AGAGAAGAGAAGAGAAGAGAAGAGAAGAGAAGAGAAGAAAGGAGAGGAGAGGAGAGGAGAGGAGGAGGAGAGAAGAGGAGAGGAGAGAGGAGAGGAGAGAAGAGAAGAGAAGAGGGGAGAGGAGGAGAGGAGAGGAGAGGAGAGAAGAGAAGAGAAGAGAGGAGAGGGGAGAGGAGGAGAGGAGAGGAGAGGAGAAAACAAAAGAGAGAAGAGGAGAGGAGAGAAGAGAAGAAAGGAGAGGAGAGGAGAGAAGAAAGGAGAGGAGAGGAGGAGGAGAGAAGAGAGAAGAGAAGAGAGAAGAGAAGAGAAGAGAAGAGAAGAGAAGAGAAGAGAAGAGAAGAGAAGAGAAGAAGGTGCCCCCCCTGAATTTATGATCATAAAAAAAAATCCTTGGAATGTGCAGAAATGGACATGAAACTCAGACATAAAGAGGAGTCAGAATGCTGTGAAATTTGGAACTTGTGGTATAGTTGGTTGGAAGACAGACAAGAAAGGAATAAAAAGTCCAATAAAAGGATATGATAGAAATTGGTAATATGATATGTAAATTTATTCGTGATACACAATTAGAATGAAACTTTGTATTATATTTAAATAAGTGAATGAACATTTGATACAAACGCGGGAGTTGGTCAATTAGAGTGAACATTGTATTTGCCTATCTTGCGACAAATGGAATTTCCTGATTTTATTCTATGTACATAAATCTATTTAATAAGGTATTTTTAAAATTTAAAAACAGAAAAAAAAGAAAGAAAACCAAAAATTGAATATTCTCCTTTTTGCAGTGTTTCAAGTCTCCAGGCTCAAATTGTTTGTTTTTCTTCTGTAAAGTGGAGAATTCCCTGAAGAGATAGAAGGAATCTCTTAATGGGAAAAATAGACACCCAGAATGGTCCATACTGGTTTGAGCTTTTCAAACATGTCAACGATAGCCATCTCTCAAATTTCCCCCTATTTCCAGACACCCAAAAGACCTTATATAAGTGGTTCTTTGACTTACAACCATTTGTTTACCGATGGCGGCTACCTCAGCCCTAAAAAAAGGGTGACTTATGACCATTTTTCGCACTTACGACCATGGCATATGGTCCAAATTTGGATGCTCGGCATCCATTTACAATGGTTGCAACGTCCCGTGATTCAAAACGAGGAAGCCCAATTCAACTTCCTAACCGGGTTCCTAACTTAACCAGGGCAGCGATCCACTTAACGGCGGTGGAGAAGAAAGGCGGTTAAAACGGGTCAAAAACTCACCCAAGATCCATCTCACTTGGTGGAAATTGGGGGGGCTCCGTCGCGGTTTCGCATCGAGGGTTACCTGTGATTTATTTCCCCCCCGCTCCCCCCCAAAAAATCCATGTGAATTTCTCAAATGCTTCTGGCTATTATTGCGGAGTTCTTCCCACTGGCTTTTAAGAAGGCCTCTGCAAGCATCTGCCTTTTAGCTTGGCATAAGGCATTAACTTCAAGGTATATAAAACATTAATGCTTGCAGGATTCAATCTAGCCAATCAAAGGAAATGGAGGAGGCAGTGGGTGATAACCTAACGATTGAGGGGGAAAAAAACCCAGCCTGTTTCACCTGACAGTTCCCACCTGTCTCGGCCACAGTTTTGTGGTCTTTTCTGCTGGGTCTATTAGAAACAGCCCTGCCTCTCCCCAATCCGCAATATAATTTATACTTTCTCACTCAGCAAAAGGGAAAACAGAATATCTGCTATTCTTTTGGCAGGGGGGGGAAAAAAGAAGCTGGTTGAAGCCAATTATTATTTACCTTTTCGGAGAGTCGACAAAAACCAGCGGATCCGCCTTTCGGGGGAATCACAGAATCATGAGGACTAGCATCTGGGTGCTCCAATTTTGCTTTCTACACCTAAGCTCTTCTGGAATCTTGGACTGGACGTATCACGGTAAGGAGTGGGGGGTGGGGAGAAGGAAAGGAGAGAGCAGATTAAATACCTTTTGCTTTTAACTCTATTGTAGGGTTGCAAATTTGTGTAACGTGGTTACATGTCAGTTTCCCCAGACTGGAACTGCAATCCTAGCTACTTCCCAGTTACTCTAGAATCTTGTGGTTGGTCTCGTGGTTAAGGCACCCAGCTAGAAAATAGAAGACCGTGAGTTCAAGTCCTGTCTTTGGCATGAAAAAAAAAAAAACATCTGAGTGACTTTGGGCCACTCTCTCTCTTTCCCTCACCTCACAGGGTGGTAATTGTGAAGAAACACTACAAATATTTCCTCATGGTAACAAAAATTAAAATGGGGAAATGGGAGGAAAAGACGTGGATATAAGTTTGCTGCCGTGAATTATTTGTAAAGATAAAGGCAGGATAGAAATAAGAAAAAATACTTCCAACTATCTCCTGGGCAGGAATTGTAATTCAAACATGGCTCAAAACAGAGGAACAATTTGGGAAAACCTAGGGGCTTGCCCCCCCCCCAAAAAAAACCCAAAGGCATTGTTGTATTGTTGGTCCTGTTTGCAAACAACAAAAATGTGTGAACTCTTTATGCTGTTCTGTTGGTCGAACAATCGGAGCGAAAATTAAGTTACCAGAGCTGAGATTCAGACTGCGCAGAATAATATTTAAGAATAATTCCATTAGATCTCCACTCTGTGAGTCCTAAGGGTCAGTTT